GCCGCCGTCACTAAGAGGGCGGGAAGGAGAGGCGACCGGCAGCCAACATGGCGACTTCCGCAAGCAGGAGCCAAGATGGCGGCGCCCTTGGGGAGGCGCCGGTGTTCGTCATGGCGACCATTACGTGGCGGTTCCGTACAGCGGCCTTTGCCAATGAGAGCGGGGGCGGGGCCTGGCGCGTGTGGGAGCTGGTATTGCACTAAGTTCACGCCCGCTTTCAAAACGGAAGCGAGGTGATGGTCGGGGAGGGAAGCTGTCTGTAGCGCTGGGAGTGGGGGGGGCCAGGGGTGAGCTAAATCCTTGCCCGAGCGCAGCCCCGGCCCAGCGCCCCCTGTGGGAAGAGGCCAGCACCGCTCCTGGCCCTGAGCCCGCAGCATGCAGCGCACCCCGCCTCGTGCACAAATCCGGGGACACATGCCCCGCCCCCCCAGCACAGCCGTGTCTCCACCCCCTGCCTCTTCACTGATCTTGTGCTACTCATCTGCCCTGAAAGGGAGTGTGACACCGCTGGGCTAGACAAGGAGTGGCTCGCTGGGATAGGGATGATTCCCCCTCAAGCAGGGCTGGACTAGACCTTTGGACATCCTTCCAGCCCTACTTTGATATGATTCTGTGATTATCACAAATGATCAACAAATCTATATTATTTTAACTTATACCAGTACTGATAATTTCTGGAAAAAAAAAATTTTTTTTTTAAATATAGGACCAGGAACAACTTCAAGCTTGTCACAGTTGAAATTAATTTGGACCCTAATTTTCGCTGATTTTTTTTTTTTTATGAAATTTTACAAGAAGGAAGTAAGTTTTACCACCTGAGACCCTGCTCCTGCCTTTGTTTGAGGTAATTTGCATTATCACAGAGCCCAGAGATACTTTGCCACATGAGAAATTCCTGCCCAGAAGAGCAGCCCATCATTTTATTCTGTGAAGTATGGAATATCATAACCAGAAGGAAATATGACTCTACGTCCTGCTAGCCCCCAAACACCTTCGAGGTAAACAGACTAGTCCAACTTTTTTCTGGCCCTAATCTGCATAAAATGAACTGTTCCAGACAGGGGTGTAGGTTGTAGCCGTGTTGGTCTAAGGACATAGGCAGACAAGGTTCCTTGGGTGAATCTGATATCTTTTATTAGACCAACCCAAATAGTTGGAAAATAATTAGTAAGCAAGCTTTCGGGTTCAAAAACCCTTTGTGAGGCTAAGGAAGTTTCAGCAGTTGGTGTGTGTTCCGAACAGGAGATTTTACCACACCTTCAACTCTCCTATGAAATGTGAACTTTCATTTCTACCTCGGAGAACTTTTACAGTCTTTTCTCCTATGCCCGAAGAAGGGTGCCTGTGCCCAAAAGCTTGCAAATGAAACTTTTTTTTGCAAAAATCTAATTGGTCTAATAAAAGATGTCACCTCTACCACTAGTTCTGATCCCTTTGAACCTTAACGTATCTCCTTTACTCTTACTTCCACTTTCTATAAATGCTGTAAGATCAAAGCACGTTTCTCAGTTTGGAATTAAAAGAGAATTCTTTAAAAACTTTAAAGAAAGACTACAATCACACTCCCAGCCCCTTTTACACTTGGAATTATCCATGCAACTTAATAGACTGAAAAGCGATGCGTGTTAAATGATTATCTTGACAAAAGCTATGCTTTGGACTTCCAGCTACAGCTTAAAGATTGTAAAACTGTTCAAAAGGATCGGTCAGGTAGGTGGATTCGTCTGCCACAGGTATTTAAAACAATCTTTTTCATGTCTGCAGTAGAAACCATTTTTTTGGGACAGATTAAATATTCCTGTGATAATTTGTTTAACTCTTTATGTGAATTCAATATGTATTCAAAAAGGTTTGCACTCGAAATGTACTTCAGATTGTCTTCCAAGCAATGTTACACCAGATTGTTTGAAAATGTTGAAGTATTACGTATTTATTTTGCTATTGTGCTTAATTAAAAATGCATTGGACCTGATCTTACTCTCAGTGCATTCTAAGAGTTATTTTTAACTAAAATAACTTCATAGTTTTAGAATTCAGGCAGGAAGAGACTGCTCCAAGCCCAGATGCCATTAGCATAGCTTTTTTAAATTTTTGTTACTAACAAGCTTTTTCCTTGAAAGTTTAAAAGAAAAAAAATCCAGAATCAATCAAAACAGAAAATGGTATCTTTTACTTGCTAGAAATTCAATGCGAATTAAACATTTGCTTAAATATTTGCTGAATACGAGGGGTAGACACAAATCCTGAAAGGCTGGACCCATAATATTGGACTCTTCATGGGGTAATTGTCTTGCATTTTCTAATCCACAGTCTACAAAATTTTGGGAGAATATCCAGTAGGGATGTGTGGTAGTCACCAAGTTTAGGGGGAAAATGATGACATAAATGCAAGAGAGAGGCCAAGCTGCAAATTGTAAACCAATTCATTTATGCTATTTGATGTTTCACAAGAAAAATTTTTTCACGAGAAATTTTCAACAAAATGATTTATTTCATTTGAAGTTTTCTTGAATTTTTTTTCAGTAATGCAACCTAGAACAATTTTTTTTATTAACCATCGCAAATTAAATGATACCAACAGTTTTTAAAAATTGCCATCTTTCTCTCTTCTGTCCACCCCCCCACCCCTTCCTTTTCTGTGTAGATAGAGGAAAAACAAAGAATATATATGGACTCATTCTAATACAAACTTTTTATAGTGAATTCATTTAAAATAATGTTTTTTATTATTCCATGGCAAAATAGGGGGAAAAGAGGCGTAGAAGGGGTATCTTAGGTAGCAGTGAATGAGTTTTCAATTAAATTAAATTTTAAAACTTTGCTCTTCTCAGATTCCTCAAAGGGTGTGCCATGGCACAGTAGCGTGCTGTGAGAGCAGCAGAAGTGTGATGCCCCAGCCCCACTCCCTCCCTCACTGCGGCTGCCTTGATCTGCCACCCCCATGCCCTTTTCCTTTTCCCTATCCTCTTCCCCCACAACAGACTTACCAGCCAGACACTGCTCTCCAAGCTTCCCAGCTGCATATCAGCAATCAGATCAGTATTGGCCAATATGGCTCATTAAAAATCAGCCATTGGTATTGACCCAAAAATTCTCTATTGGTTCACCCCTATAAAAAATGATTCCTTCCTTCCTTGTATTGTATACATTTTTTTGTTTGCACATTTTAATACATGATATAATATTTTCAAGTCAGAATTTGTAAGGCTATTCACAATACACAACATTGGTAATCTGCCATATGTCAGTATGCAGAACATTTGAAGCAAAGGCATGAGGTGCAGCTTTTACATGCCTATGCAGGTGCTTTGGTGAGAAAGGGAAGTGGTGGCAGTGTCTTGATCAGAAGGTGGGGTGTCTGTTGTAAGACGGCATGAAAATCTGGTGCAGTCACTGCAGTCATTGTTAAAGTATGATTAGTTTTTGAGTTGAACTGTGAACAAGCTCATATGTCACACTGATATTTTTGTTTGAAAAATGTACTCTTTTATACTTTCCTAAATTAAGAATGAATTAATACTTATAATAACTGTGTGTGTTGCTCATATTGATATTTGATCTTTGCATTTTATTTTGAAACCCCCCCATACCCCACACACCTTTTCAGGTATTAGAGTGAAGTATGCCAAAATTTGGGAAATGCTGGTATTTTATTGTCCAGGTTGATTTTTACTTTCTTTTTCCATTCTTTCCTCCAGTGAAGATGAAGATTTCCTCATTCCACTGTAGATCCAGTTCCAGCTTTCCTCTTCCTGTTTTTATCATTTTTTCCTTAATTATATTCACAAGATAAAATCTGG